GCTGGAGCTTTGTGTTAATGTAGCCAGGAATTATGCTGTTTGAAGTTTACTGTTGCCATGGTTACCACTGTTGAGGTTTGTTGTTGCTATCAGCACCGAAGACTTCAATTTCCTCTAGTGACTTTGTTTTTATCTCTTCTTTTTTTCTTTTTTTGGAGCGGGGGGGTATCTTCCTATTGTGCTGCTTCCCAAAGAGACTCTTTCTGTTATGGTTCTCTCAGATGTAATCCACTGCTGTTGCTGGAGATGTGTGTAAGTGTGGTGATAGGGCATGGATAAGGGGAAGCTTTCTCAGTTTGGATTAAGTTTTAGTCTTTGTCATGCACAGCTTTGGGCACTCATAAGAATTTCTGTTCCTATTCAAATGGTAGAACTTTTTTCTGTACCCTGTCCTTCTTTTAGGGGCAGTGGTTATCCACCACTACCTCAGTCTATGACTATAAAGCCCTTCCCTGCTCCTTCAGGTGAAATAGAGCAGTCTTGTTTGGGCCGAGTTCTCTGAGTGCCAGTCCCCAGCACTGTGTTCTTCCTCCAGGGCTCTCAGATGGACCATGCAGATGGAGCTCCCAGCTCCCCAAGGAGAGTAGCCTGCACAGAGTTGCAGTTGCTACTGTTCCTCCCTCCCAGCCAGAACAGTGGTCAGGACTGTCTCCAGGTTCTCCCCGATCCTCTCTCTGAAAGGCTGATGGAGTTCCTAGAGGAAAAGCCTACAAGAGTGGGAACCACCTCTAAACTGTGGCCTCCAAGAGCTTCATTTTTCTCACACTGCTGTACTCTGAGCTTCCAGCAGTTCACCGAAATTTCTAGTTTGATTGTCTTACTGGTTCCTGTGATGTCTGGTGGTTTCCGCCTCGGATAAGCAAATGCTTGGGTCCCAGGTCTCCCTGAATGTGCCTGTCTCTTCAGATTCGGGGATGGCTTCATTTCTCTTACCAGTTTGCAAAACAGGACATGGATTTGCTCTGTCCAGCTATTTCCTTATTGGAGCCAAACTTCTTGTGTAGACCAAGAATGATGAAATATATATTACTGGCCAAAGAGAGTGTTTTATTTCTCTCAGTATACCAAGCTCAAATCTTTCCTTTTTAAGAATGTCAGTCCATAGCAATAGAGAAAAAAAATTGTTACATAACTGGTTTCCATTTAGTCAGTCAGTTGTTGCTCTCTGAGATCAATGCATTTATAAACTGGCTGTGCTTGAGCCTTGAGAGGATCTTTGATATAAAATGCATATGGCAGTTGCTTTCTTTACCTTCTAAGCAGAGGTGCTCTACAGTGTGCTTCCCCTCCCAGTTGATCCTATGCTCCTATTCCTCTTGAGACATCATGTTCTGCACAGGCCATTCCTTACTTTATATACTTGTGTATATAGCTGATTCTGCTGAACACCTTCTAAGGGCATAGTAATGTTATTCCTCTGGACATCACGAAGATAATGACATTTCTGAACCAGTGCCTGCTGTGACTTCTCTGAATCAGTTGCATGTGGCTAGATGTGTTTGATGGAAATCTTCACCTCTTCTAATTGGCCAGTTCTTTTGCTCATTGAGTCTATCAGCAAACTGTCCAACAAAGGTACCCCATTTTCTAATTATATAGATGAAGAATCCTACCACTGGTATGATGGAGAAAGTCTATGGGGCAATCATATATTTCTCTGGATAGAAAATACAAGCCCAGGGCTGAGGATTTAGCTCAGTGGTTCTGCCGCCTGCCTTGCAAGCACAAGGACCTGAGTTTGATCCCCGGTCCCAAAAAGAAAATACAAGCCCAATTATGTGTGTAGCATCTTGCAACACTAATTTTGGGACAAAGAAACTGGAAGAATTCTTCAGAGATAAGCCTGTGACAAATCTGTCCTCTATTTCCATAAGGAGATGACACAAAGATGAGACATGGCTGTGGCTCAGTGTCCCTGTGACCCTGAAGGGAGAGGATGTCAGGTGTGGCAGTAAGATGACCATTCACAGGTTTCACACCTTTGTTCCTAAAAATCAAATCTAACTTCCTCTTAACCCATTACTCTGTTTTTATCACATACTTATTTTCTGGTAATACTTATCAGACTATAACTTTTGTGACTGTACAAATACGCTTTCTTTTGACAGGCATTTGTGGTTGAAAGATAATTTTATCAGAGAAGATCAGCAAGATTTGAAGTCTTCCATTTTTAACAAGCATATCTGCTCATTGAGTAAATATCTATAGAACACCTACTATGTTGTAGCCAGTGTTTAGATGTTAGAACAGAGCAGTGAAGAAGACACAATGGCTTTGCCCTGCTAGTTTAGGAAAACAGGAAATAAACAAGTCAACAACCAAAGAAGTAGGGAGACAGAGAAATAATGGGAGAAGCAAAATTGGGAAACCTGAGGAGGGGATATTTGAGCTGCTGGAGGTCAAGGAGGCCTCCACAGTGCCCATGTGTTAAATGTAGGGTACCTATTAGACATCAACATCCACATGAGCATGTCAAATAGCTGAACATATAAGCCTGGGCATCAAGGTTGTCATAAGGAGTCTGGAAGTCAAAACATGTCAATGCTCTCACTGCTCTGGAAGTGGCTGGGAGAATGTCTGGATAGGGAGGGGATGTGAGTCCAGGACCAAGTACCAGAGTGGATGAATATATTCATAGGATGAGGAACTCAGGAGATGGGAGGATGACAGGAGCATCTGATATCAAATGCTGAGATTAAAAGATATTTGTGTTAGGAGAGTGGTGGTGATTAACCCAGCAAAATGTTACTGAGCCCTATTTTTAAAAAGTTGCTCTTTGGTAATGTGCAGATCATTCATGACCTTGACAAGAGTGCTTCCAGTGGTGACCTGCAAAAGAAGCCACTTTCTAATGGGCTGAGGGGAGAATGGATGAGGAATAGAGACCATGGGTATAGGTAGTAGTCACGTGGGATCAAAGAAGGACTTTTATTTTTAGGGTCATGGTGGTGCTTATTTTTTTATTTTTTGTTTCTTTCCTATTTATTTTGCTTTTATTTATTTTAAAGATGGGAGATATGAGCACATGTTTATATACTGATGGGAATGATTCAGCTCATAGTGAAGGAGAAATTAGTTTTTGGACAGTGTTGACTGCTCTGTACTCTTCTTAACGTATCTGTAATTCCTGATCCTTCTCTCAAGGCATAGTAGGTGGTATAGACATGTTTAAAAGAGTCATTTTTTGTATATCATTTGTGATTGTATAGAACATAAGTCAGAGAGAAACCCAGATTTAGTATCGCCTTTTTAGTGTGAGTGAACTGTGTGCTTTATGAATCTCTAGCATGTAGATCCCCAAAGAAAATGCAATCTCAAAACAGACAGCAGCATACCATGCCATCATCACAGGAAATTGTGGATGCGGGTGTAGAATTTTATGAACAAGGAAATGGAAAACATGATGATGGTAATGAAATACAACCAACCCTATTAAGGAATCCTTAACTGAGGGAGGAAATACACACTTAAATCTCTGTGTAGGAATACAAAAATTTGACTCAAGCAAATCCCTTATTAAATGTTTTTATATTTTTTCCTCCATAATCCATTTGAAAATAGTCTTCCTTTTGGTGCACAGAATACCAAGCATAGAGTTGGACTTCTAGGAGGATGGACCATAACCTATGTGTGCATGTGAGCAGAGTCTTGTAGCTGAGCCTCTCCAAAGGGCTGTGTCTGGGTTCAATTTCTGCCTGCGAGTTGCAACTGCTGCTTTGATGCTACTGGGAATTTCAGTGGATGTGGAAACATCCCATTTCTCTGTTTTCCTTTTCACTTACCCCTCAACTTCCTCTTATCACTCATGAGAAAACCTGTTGTAAACATTTTTAGTTTTGGCTGTTCTGTTCAACAAGTATGTCAAGTGCCTGGAATAAAAACCATAAAGGTTGTTTTGGCTTACTGCTTTGGAGAATGTGGACATTTCATTTTCAGGAACTTGTGTAGAAATAGGTTTTTTCATAGGAAGTTCAGAGTGAGTCTCCCTTTCACATTAGAAACGTATGTCCCCATGTCCTCCTTTTTAAATCATTTTCCTTGTTTGCCAAAGGCTCTGGCATATTAAGTAGCTTGTGAAATCAGCCAGTTTTTACCACTGCCTTTTTCTTAACATGAAATTATGGGAAGTAAAGAAAAAGAAACTTAAATGTTTTTGTGCTTACACTCCAGAGAGTATAAAGAGTACCACTGTGAAGACAGTCTACAATCTTTGCTTTTGCTCGTTTTGCCTAGTATATGTCACTTGCTACCATTCACCTTGTTTTTCACCTTTGTTATAGGCTATTTTTATTAAAAGTAAACAAGTTTTTGTCATCTTTCTCAGACAGACTTCAGGGGTAGGTTTCTTCTTAGAGGGACATCCTCCTCAGGAAGGAAGCTTGCTTAATAATAATCAAATACTTTTAACTTCCCTTTGAATTTATTCAAAAGAACTCAGTAAGAATATCTTTCTACACATTTAATGGAGTATTACATGTGAACTGTATTATTTATATATAAATCTCTACTTCATAATTTAAGTAAAGGGACTACATTGCTGAGTTTTTCATAATAATGAGGAAAAATTCATGGTTGTTCTCCTGACTAGATATGTTACTTTTAGTGGGGAGAAGTAAATCATTTCTGTGGTCAACACTAAAGAAATCCAAAAATGCACATAACCAGGGGCCGGGGATTTAGCTCAGTGTTTTCCTCGCCTGCCTGCTGCACAAACGCAAGGACACGAGATCAGTCCCCGGTACAAAAAACAAAAACAACAACAACAAAAAGATAAAAACAAAAATGCACATAACCCTGATTCTTGTGGGGCTCATAACCAACTTTTCTTGACCCTCTTAGCAAAATACTTTCTTTGGTTTTTTTAATGTTGCAGAGCTCTATTATAATGATTAATGCACTATATGGTGGTTACATGTTCAAATTAAATTCAGTAGCTTTTTGTCCAATTGAAGTTCATTAGTTTTACAATCATGACATTTTTTATTCATTATTTTTTCCAGCAAGAATTAGAGAAACAGAAAAGAATTAAGAGCAACAAAGAGCTGGAAGCAGCAGCCAAAGATCATTATAAAAATGTCTTGCTAAAGAAAAAAGGTTTGGACCCTTGGAAGAAATTGAGACAACAAAGCAGGCAAAACATTCAGGTACAATGTCACACTGCTACCAACCCCCAAAATTAGAAAATGGACTTTTCCAAATAGCACGATTATTCAGGCGTTGAGGGGAGTTCGGTGATTTAGAAGCCATAAAGATAAATGATTTGGTGTGTATATTTCTTTGTTTTGAAAGAGTTTAGATTTTGTCTTTAAACACTTTTGTAACTTAACAAGTTGGAAAAAAACTAGAGTAAATTTTTAATTGGAGATACCCAAGGTAAGATGAAAGAGGCTTCTCTCAATTTTAGCAGTGCTTAAAAAGCAGAAAAGTTGGGCTGGGGATTTAGCTCAGTGGTTCCGCCGCCTGCCTCGCAAGCGCAAGGACCCAAGTTCGATCCCCGGTTCCAAAAAAAAGCCGAAAAGTTATAGGGTATATTGGATTTCTGCTGTGATAAAGTTGAATAACAAAAAACTTCTAAATATCAGACTCAGGTATACCTGAAGTATTTGAGTATACGCAAGTATTTCTCACATATATGCAGGCCAGTTGTGAATTAGGTTCTGCCCTCTCCCAAGGCCTCATTGTGGGTCCAGCAGGTACTTAGGGGATGCATCTCACCTGGCAACTGAAGGACATACAAATTATATAAACCCATAGAAAGCCCCCAGAGTCCACTAATATTTTATTGAACAAAGCAAAGGAAGGAGGCACTATGAAATCACGTTGCAAAGAATATTGAGTATAATTCCATCATACAGAGCAGTATCCACCCCATAATACAGAGCTATATGAAATCAAACACTAGTTCAACTTCTGAAATTTCCCCACAAATTTATCAAGTAGATAATCAAGAAGGGCAAGACAGATGAAATGTTATCTTGTCTTTTGGCTTCCAGGCTGGTCTGTGCCACAGAATATCCCTGTAATGGTCATTTTGGCCAGTAAGTATGACTTCTGAGAGGTTTCCTTGGATCAGTTGTAAACACAGTGCCAGACAAGACGTAGGAAAATGTATCATTGTCTGGAGAGGACTAAGAAGAGTTTCCTCTCCTCCTTTCTCGTCAAAGAATGTAACAGTCACTTTTTAAAATCTGTAAACTTGGAATTTTATATTTTGATAGAATGATACTCTGAGCCTTTTAGGTTTGTAAGACATTAAATTATTCATGTTATTTTTCTACCAATGGTTTTGTGGTTTATTGATATTATCTAAATTTCAATGCTAGTGACAGTTTATTCTACAAAACTAATTGAAAGTATTGGCATTTTCTCAGTTGACAGTGGTTAAGTACATAACAAAGGGAGGGCTGTTATGCAGCTGTTGTCCAAATTCCAGGACAGCAAACTGAGAATGTTGCCAGACACTTACTTCAAAACTCAGTGGAAGTGAAGCGGTGGCTTTGGAGGTTGCTTATTACATTTTCAGAACCAGCCATTCACTATGATCTTCAGGAAGTCAGCGCTGAAAGGCCATCCATGGTTTCACTCTATAACCTCCATATAATAATATAACAGGGCCCATAATCAGTGCTTTTAGGACACAGAACTAATACACCTTAAGATTACTCTTCCCTAATAACTGCCTAAATGTGATACACAGCATTGTTTGGCCAGCTGACATGTTTTCTTAAAAGATTTAAAAGTTAAAGAATAATTTCCTTTTTCTCATGTAAAAAAATCTGTAGGTGGCAGAAAAACATCATTCTTTGGCTCTACAGAGGAAATGTCTGCTGACCTGGTTCCACTGTAGTCAGGAAAGTTTGGCTAGGAAGACAGCTCAGGCTGATCAATTTTATTCCCAGCAACTGCTTAGGAGGGTCATTCAGAGCTGGCTACAGGTAAGGCCACAGGGTAAGGCCACTTTGAATACATCTCTGTTTAATCCTCCATGAAAAAACTAAATGGACTGCAGAATGCCCATGATCATTGTTTTTTTCAAGAACAATATCATGAACTCAATTAATTGCTTTGAAAGGAATATGAAAATATCAAATCAGTTTTTATTATAGACTCTTAAGCATGTGTCTTTTTTTACACATTGTATGTGTATTTAAACTGTAACATATCATGATATCAGCTTTTATTTTTATACCAACTTCCTGGTTATTGTCTCACAGTGCTTACATGATTTCATTAGAAACCTACCGCCTCAGTCTTATACCTATCTTTCCTCCTGTTTCTGTCATTTTTATAATACATCACAAAGGATATTCTCATGGCTACTGTGTTATCCTTTTCTCTTTATGCCACCAGTGTCCTTTGTTTTGCATGTTTCAATTCTCTCATTTGTACTATATGTGCTGTAATTCTTTGTCTACTGTTATTATTCATCTCATTTCTGTTTCTGTCCTCATCCCCAGTATGTGACTGATCTGGAGGAAGAAGTAAGAGAACTCTGTGTACACTTCCTTCAGAAGAAGATTTTCAGGGCCTGGTTTATCATGGTCAGGGAGGTGAAGACAGACTCTCAAAGCAAGCATAGGATTGCAGTGGAACATTGTGACAGGTGAGGTTATCATCCCTAAGAACTCATCGATTCCCTGGCTTCACAATTGCTCTGCAGTATATGTATATCTACCTCTGGGATGTGTCTGAAAGGACAAGGAGGAAAGTTGGTGAGTGGGACCCCCAGAAACACTAGGCAGAGTGGGAGTCCCAACTTGCCACTGACACGGGTGAGGGCAAAATGGTAAACCCCTGGGGTGCCAGAGTCCCTGTCTTTAAAATGAAGAGGAGCAGGCCCACCCTCTGTACCTCACAGGCACTGCCAAGGGGAATAAGTGTGTGAGACACACATATAGGAATGTACTGTCTTTTTCATTAATCATATAGTTTTATTTTTTGTTCAGCTTCTTTTTAAAAACATTTATTGTGAAATATAACACAAATAAAGTGCCTCCATCATATAAATACAGTTGAAATGAATTATTAAAAAGTAGACACCCATGTCACCATTGGCCGATCAAGAAGTGGGACATCGCTACCCCAGGGGCTTCTTCCCAAGCACAGGTTCTTCCTACATTTAAACTGTGCTCCTGACTTGAGCAGGGAACACTTCCCTGCTTTTCTTTTTGCTTTTCCTAAGAATGCAACTTCAGTGCTATAATTTAGTTTTGCTTTGTTTTGAATTTTATATGTATGGAATTATATTGTATTAGTATTTAAAATATAGTTATATCTTATTAAATCCAGTGTCTTGGAGAAATAAGGTAGTCCATATAAGTAAGGTTTTTCTTTGTTTTCCAATTTTAATCATCTTGGACAGAAATGTTTTGAATGTCATTATGCACTTCCCCTTGAGAGTGAACAACTCTGTCCCTTTTTTGGTGGTGTGGTGTTATTCCTTGTGAACATCACTTAGTGTGGGTATTTTTGGTGATGCCTCTAGCTTGTGAGACATGAAGGCTGCTGTGACATGTAGAAGTGCCCCTTTTCTCACTATCCACAGATTCCTTTTTGGTCCCTTTGTTTTCATGCGTGTGCATGTGCAGCACACACGCATCTCTGCCCTACGTAATAGTTTTTCTTTCTTTGTAGACTAGGATGCCCACTCCTAGCAAAAACTGATTGTCCTTGTTTCGTTTAGACACTGGAAATCAGTGGGTTGGGAACAGATAAACAAGTTGATTATAATTTTGTCTAAATTAAAATAAATATGCAGAAAGTCAGGGTATTCAGAGGACTTGCCTTTGAATGAAGTGCTTCAGCTTTAAAACTTGGAGGGAAGGACTACTCAGTAATAGTATCTGTGTGACCTGGCCACATCACCTTTTGAAGTCTCCCTGTTCCTCTTTGACAAGTTAGGGTAGTGACAGAACCTATCTTAGGGGCTTGTTGTAAAGACTAAAAAGGTAACATACTAATGTACTTACTGCAATGCTCAGTTCAAAGGAATAGCTAATATTGTTTTAGTTTAGTGTATTATTAAACATCCTTTTTGCCTACCTCTGCTTTCTGTTAGCCCTATAAACAGAATGAGCTTCATTTGAGGCTTTCACACAAACCATCTTATCTGATCACAGTGCAACCAGGGGTAGGGGACAGTCGTGATTTCCATTTTCAGGCAAGGAAACAAGCTGCAGGCACATAGATGAACTGCCCGAGGTGTACAAATAATAGCAGCTCCCTGCCCTCCATACCAATGAAGTCTTCTGGCTCCAAAACATCCTCTTAGTGTATCAATCCTCCTCTCCATTTTCCCCATCATTCACAAATTATAAACTATAATAGTAAGATAGAGGTGAGGTTACCAGCAGGCTTTTCACGTGTGTCCTTGTTGCTAGCAATTTGGCACGTTTTATACAGTTTTCTGTTGTCTTTTGCCCAGAGGACTGTGGCTGCCCAGTATCACTGGTTCTGGCTTGGGCACAGTATATAGGTTGTGATCAGATTAGCCAAGGAGTGTCTCATAAACTGTAGTATCAAGGGCACTAGAGGCCCTGCCCAGATTCAGTCTCCTGAGACTTTTCCTGACCATTGATGGAAAATGTCACTGTATTCTCATTTTCTTCATAGCATTTTCTACTGTCTGAAACCCAGTTGTGTTTTCCATACCCTTTATATGTTTTATTCAGAATTACTTTAATAAAATTTTTAATTATTTAAGCCAGAATGCTAACTATTCCTAGTATTTCACTTTTTTCCCTGTCTCCCCTCTTCATTCTTAAAGGAAGATTCTCAGCATCATATTTCAGACATGGCAGAAGTTTGTAAAATTGATGAAAGAGGAAAGGGTAAAAGAAGAAAGGCGAGAGCAGCTCCGCAGAAGGGTGGCGGAAATTCTTCCAGACTTCCAGATGCTGGCACCATTGTGATTGTGCTTGTACAACAATCAGATACTTGGCCTTGAGTGAGATATTAGATACACCAGTAAACATAGACTAACATAGTACTTAGGATGGGAATCTTGATGGGCTCAGGCTGTGTATATTTTATCTCTATCTACCCGAATACATACTTATAGGTGGTTTATTTTGAGATACTTCTTAGGCCACAGGAATTATCTGGGGAATTTGTACTTCCTTCTTTGATTTTGCTTGAGTTGATTTTGTTAGTATTCACTCTAGCATTCATTTATCCCAGTGGAATCATCCAAAGTAACATGTAGATCACCACTGTTCAAATATATACTATGTATTTTTAGCATAGTAAACTTTAAAAAGGACAAGTGATTACCTGCCTGGGTTTGTGAAGGAAAGTATGTGTCCCTATGGCTTAATGTGAGTTAAGTAAGACTTAGAATAAACAGTGAGTACTTAGAAAAAGAGGCATAGGATGGGTACTTACAAGAGGGCCAGTGTGTTAGTACCTCAGCATCAAGTATCCTCCAGAGCCAGTCCTTTTAAGCCACTCCTGATGGCAAACCATGTATTAAAAGCTACTCTACACAGCTGCTGCAGAGTGCAAAGGGTGGTAACGTCCTGATTTCAAACTGGGGCACCAAAGATATTGCATATAAAGAAAACCTCAAAAGCTAGTAACTTATCGAAGACAATCCAGCAAGTCATTAAAATACCTGTTAAGTTACAACTTCTAAATAATCCACTTGATTTGTCTTCCTGAGTTTGATCTAGATATTGAGATACTTATCTTGAACTGAAAGAAGTTTTTAATATTTAAAGTGCTATAAAGACTGATAAAATGCTCTCTTCTGTGAATTGTCTTGATAGAATGACCTGCTAGGAAAAAAATATTTTCATTACAAAAAACATGCTTATTTTAACATATTCAAGCCCAGAAATGCACACAGTAAATTGAGAAAGGCCCCTGCAGCCTGGCGGTAAACTATTTGTTATGTTAGAGATTTGAATTGGTAAAATAAAATTCTGCAATTTAAAGATGGCTGTTCCTGTCTCATATTTCCTAAAAGGGCTGCCTTTTCCACTACCAACAAAATGACTTACACCTTTTTTTCACAGAAGATGTGCAATGAAATATAAAATACTCAAGTTGAACTTCACTTCTCCAGTAATCTTCAACTAAAAACTCAAGTTTCTTAAGACTAATGGTCACTAAAGAAAATGGGAGTAAAAGTAATTCATACTGAATCTCTTTCCAGCTAAACCACTGTTTATACTTAACTGTAGCACAGTTACAGAATACTGGCTGATATTAGCACCTAAAAACCAAGTACCAATAATTAATGTCAGTCCTGCAGACAAGAATGAGTGAATTCCTTAAGTAAACATTTCATGGGCTTAAATAAATCCCATAAAACTTAAGCTTTATTTTTGCCTCACCTGAGGTGTCTTTTGCAGTCCATTCTGATTTGGCCAGCTAGAGTTTTTACCTACTTCTAGAAACTTCTAAAGATACAATTTTGATGCTCTGTCTTGCTGGACAATCATGAAGATGTGCTTTGAAATGTTATTCCTAACACAATGCCTGAGTTAGCAGTATCCTGATCCACAAAACTAGAAAAAATAACCACCAGGAAAATCAAAGTTTAGGACCACAGCCAAGCCCACAGGATGGGGACAAAAAGATAGTCAAAGAGGCAGGAGGACAGCTATAATGCAGAGTTTTCTTAAAGTAAAAGAACCTAAAAGACATACCAAGAAACACCAACTATCTTCCTTAAAGAAAGCACTTTATTTTCCATTTGAATAACTAGGTCACAGGACATTATTTTACACAAGTGGCAATTATTTGTAAAATCTCCACTTAAAAGGCTTTGTATCTGAGTCTGAGGTGATAATAGAATATGAATACAAGTATAAAAACAGTGCAAAATTTTTAGCTCACAGCCTTCAGATTTGCTCTGGAAAACCTTTAATGTTGTCAGGCCAGTTACATTAAATACTGATTTAATATTTAATAATTAAGCCCTGACAAGTGAAACCATCAAATCACCCAGACCATAAGATCACAAGTTGAGCTCTCAAGCTCTGTGGTATCCTGTCAGTGGCTCCACCTGAAGCAACACACAATTCTAGTTGCATCAGTAATTAGAACAGCTTTGATTTTTTTTAAAGCTTTGACTTTTAAATATGAAGTTCTAAAGGTGAAAGGTGCCATCAGGAAGGCTAGAGTACTAATAAGTCACAAGCCCAACTTGGAAACAGTCATGGCAGCCTCTAAGAAATTTGTCTCCATTAACCATTAAGTCTTTGGCCTGCTGCTAACACTATAGTGAAATACTCAGTGCCAGCTGAAGTATGGATAAGTGTGCATTAGCAACAGGATTAAATTTAGCTGATTCTGCAAAAAGTTTATATTAATCACAGCAATAACCATAAGAACATATTGAATTTTATTCTTGTTAAGTTTAGCATGGCTTTCATTTGCCCCTGCTTTGCCTTTGCAGTATATAATATAAAATGGCAAACTTGTCAAGTTGCTGCTGAGAAAACTAGATTCCCAACAGGTGCCTCAAGCAAGTCTTTTATCATGCATTGCTTGAGAAAGTCCTCCTTTTCAAAATCCAGGTTACCAAAATATGGCTAAACTGAAGGTAAGTCATATAAACCTACTTATGTGAAGAAACCCTTAACATCACAAAACATTAATTTTTAAACATCCTGGTTAAAACTGTGCTTCTAGATGTTTTAATTTTGCTTCTATTAGTTCACCTTTATAATAAAAAGCTAATGTCATACCCAAAGGAAGTAAGTCTGTGAAGCAGATGCTCAGTATTACGTAGAATCTTACTGGCATTGTGTTTTCTGGCAGTGAAAGATTCTAATATAGAAAATTTTCTCTTGCTAAAAATATTAAAAGTACCAAGGACTATTGCACAAGAGAAAGTTTGTAGCAATCTTTCTTCTAGGCATATGGCACAGTGGAAGACAACAATCATTTCATTCACCAGAGGAAAACACAACTTGGAGAACAAAGATCTGTAAAATCCTAAACACAAACACATATGTGGCAGAGGTGAAATAAGCAGCACATTGTCCTGAAAACACATGTAAGGCTTTTCTTTTGCAGCAGAGTAACCCTAAAAAAAGGCAATTTATTAAGCTCCACATCCAGTATGTTTCTGAACAGAGGCTGAGGGACTGGGCCAGGAGTAGAGAACTGGCTTGTTTGGAATCACATTGAGGGGAGGGGGCTCGAATCTATGGCCAAGAGACTGCAGGGAAATTCTCCACTGCCACCACCACCAGATGTTTCTGTGGGACAGTTCATTCAGAGGCCTTGTCCGTTCAAAGATTCCACAGAAAATTCTGCCCTCTGAAGAGAACCAAGCACTATCACAAAATCCTTCAAATAGCTCCAGATCATTAAAAATGCTCAAAAGTCTAGGAGTCTAGACCAAGGATTTGGTAGAGCCTACAAAAACAATGCACATAAATAACCTTTTTTTTTGTCCTTTTGGTACAAACACTTCAGAAGGCTCAAAACCAAAAACGTTCATGTCTGAGCTCTTCTGTAAAGTGCCAAGAGTGAGTTCTCAAGGAACTTAAAGTAAGCATTGTAATTCCAATTGGTCAGAATAATATGAAGGGAGCTCCTATCCAAGCAAGGGAAACTGAGTTGCCTTATTCAGCCGACCCGTTAGGGGGACTTGTTACAAAGATGGTGAACCTTCCTAATGCTTACCAATGGCTTTCATCATTTGGTACTACTCAGCCTCATCATATCATATTTGGGTTGCTGTTAAAGACTTGGCAAGCTATAATTACTATACTAATGTTTCTATGAATTTTTATTATCAACTGCTAGAAGACAGAGCTGGCTATACAGCTGGAATTCAAGAGATGAAAACTACCAATTTCTGCCTACATATGCTGTCCTTGACCTTATTACTGTTTCTCTTATCTAAAAGCCTACACAGAAATTGGTGATATCAGAGCCAACTTTAATTCTAAGTGAATATCTGACTCTGTGCCGAGGAGAGGGCATGACTGTAGAAACCACAGCATCTGCTCATATTCCCAGGCTTATTCCTTGGCTCATCCCAGTGGAATACGGAGCCTATTGTTTGTTAAACAATTCCTCTCTGGGGAGAGCAATGACAAGCCTGAATAAAAACATGACAACTGTGCTAGGGACAGTGAGACTAGGAATGGTGTTAGCTACAGAGAGCAGAAGTGCAGAAAGTAGCAATATTTCCTCTCAACACTTACAAATCCATTGCTAAAGCAGCATCCACAGAATAACAGAACAAGCTTGCAATATTTTCCCTGTAGTAAGCAACAAGCCAAGGAAAATTTAAGGATTCATGAATTATCTTTGGGATTGTAGAACAGTACATGTATGAAACCAACCATTTCAAGAGGACATTTTTTTCCCCATCTGAAACTCTATGGCAGAATAACCCATTCTAGGGCTGGGATTTAGCTCAGTGGCACCGAGCCTGCCTCACAAGAGCAAGGTCCTGAGTTCGATCTCCGGTACTGAAAAAAAAAAAAGAATAACCCATTCTATATAAGTATTTAATCCTTTATATATTTTCAGTTTTGAGATATGATTAAAGCAACAACTTGTTATTTGGGAAAGGTCAAGAGGAGAATAGTAATTTATTAATCCATGGAAACCATATACCCTGTTTTTTCTCTCCTGGTGAGATACTTTTATGTAAGGAAGGTGAATGAGAAGTAATGTGCAAGTTAAGTGGGAAGGTGTCAATCAACTCTTCTAAAAAAGTTCATGCCAGAATAACGTGAATGCCACAAGACTGATTTTTTGCAATTTAGTGCTATAAACTGACAGCATTTGAAATACTTACATGAACAAAAAAAATCAAGCCCTTGATATTAATCAACATCCCTACCCAGGAGAGAGAGTAAAAGCATTCCTGTAGGAGTATCTGTTCCTCTTCCAGCCACCAACACAAGTGGCTAGCACCTTACCAAGTGAAACATGGAAAGAGGAAAAAACATTAATGTCTACTGGAGTTACAGTACACCCAAAAGAATACATAAAGAAATAAACATAAAAACCCATCACCTAAGCTCATGACCACTGAAAAGAATTATCACTCATATCACACTGACAAGAATTATCTTTACCCTTGTAACCAAGTAGCCTGTCAGGGTCAGGTGACTAGCTTCAAGCCTCTAGTCACCTCCTACCCTGTGAGAGTAGTTAGCATCTAATACTTACGGAAAAATTCTCATTGCTATACAATATGGTATATGGTGAAATCTAATGACCCTAATAAGATTGGCTTTAATATTGACCTACAACATTCTTCCTCAGTCTTGGGATTTCTTAATACTTCATACCTCCAGGGCTCCCCTCATTTCATAGTACTTTCCACATTCCTCATCCCTCACGTGACCCTCACACTGGTTCAGTGAGGCAGCCAGGGCAGGCATCAGTACCCCACATTACAGATGAACCTGAGACTTTGGAAAGTGACTCAACTAAGGGTCACATGGCTATTAATAATTGAAAGAGGGACTAGAAACTATCCTAATCCAAAACTCTTTCCCCCATACTAATGGACAAGAATTGCTTCCATCAATTTGTGTATTAGCAACCCACATCCTTTTCAACTAATGGTGACTGAATCAATTAATAAGTGACTGGAAAGAAATGGCTTTACTTTTACTGCTTCAATATAAAAAACTCTTAAGTTGTGAAGTCAGAAAAATTAACTTCTTTCCAGTCCAGTCTCCAATCCTGAGCGTAATGCCTGTAAGAAACTGGGGACACTTAAGTGTAAAATGGAAAGGAGTCGGAGGGAGGAGCCACCCTCAGAGCTGCACGGAAGGCACTTCAGACTATGTCCTCGGCAGGGTGGTGGAAGGAACATGTGCCCAGGGTGGAGAATTGATGCCAATTCCTCAGGAAGCCCCTGTTGTACTGGCCTGTGTCCACGATGAGCCCCCAGAGGAGCCGGCGCCCAGTCTTCTGCCGAAGGGCTTGCTGAACTTCCCTCTCAGTCACATTGTAACTGATGTTTATTAGCTGAATCAGGAAGATGTAGGCCATACCCGAGGTGATGATCACAGAGTACCACACACAGGTGAAGGACAGAGCTGAGCTGTAGAGGGGAAAAAGGTGTCAAGCCTGCTGCCATTTTTGTCACATTCACAATGCTGTCACCATTCGCACATTTTATACTTTTTTTGCAGTAGTGGGGATTGAACCCAGGGCCTTCACACTAAGCTGTATCTTTTTTTATTGAGACAGGATCTCACTAAGTTACTAAATTGCCCAGGCTGGACTAGAACTTGTGATCCTCCTGCCTCAGCCTCCCAGAGTGCTGGTATTTATTACAAGGGTGTGCCACCACACTTGGTTACATTTTTTTTTGGTACTGGGGATTGAACTTGGCACCTTGCGCTTGCGAGGCAGGTGGTGGAATCACTGAGCTAAATCCTCGGCCCCTTCTCCATCTTCTAAACTGGATGATACTTTATCCTCAAAGTGCCAATCAGTAACCAGATTAAACAATGTATAGAAATTAACATGCTGTGTTTTATAATTATTGGTGCCTGTTTTTTTAATATGCCACAGAATAGCAAGGGCTGGTTTTTACATTTTGTATCCTCCACACAACCGGCACTAAGCTTGATAAAATGGGACCGAACATATTTGGTGAATGAGTAATTCCTAACCATACCTAACTTATGAGAAAACAAAGATGCCAAGAGATGGCTATAAACGTTCCCTAGGAACCCAATGGCAGGACCTAGGAATAGCATTAAAGTTTTAGTCTTCATTCTTTTTCAGTCCAGTGCTGATGAACACAAAGATGATGACAACTTCCAACCTTTGAAGCCCTTTATCTACTTAGAAGATCTGTAGGAAACCATGACATTTCAAACTAGCTACCTAAAACCAGATTTTTAGAGGGCAAGAAAGCTCCTATCAGGCTTGCTAATGAGTCTGTGAAGAGGGCCTGCTGATTAACACATGCCATCTCATTATAGTCACTCACACATTTACAAATGAAGTTAGTTGGAAATAAATCCACTTCTAAAGCTGAAAGAGACTTCAGAGATGATTACATCCAATAACCACAATATAGATGAAGGTGACATTAATCCTTTGCAAAGGGAGAGTACAGCCATGATCTCTGTTCATTTAGGCCAATTGTCGCTGAGAGTATTGGCCAAGAATTTCACAACCAACTAGACTCAGTCTAGAAAAGACCCTTACTCTGAGGAGGAAGGTGCTGCAAAAAAAAAGGACTGAATCAGACACCACAGAGAGCACCCATGTCAGAGAATAGCGGAGGAAAGGGAATAAAGAACAGGGGCAGGCCTGGGTGCAGGGGGCTGTCGAGAGTGGGGGCACCCAGGCCATTTCCGAGAATCCCAGCTTTTGTAACTGCCTGGAAATCTTCAAAAAATATAATTGGGCTCCCACCTACCAGTGCCTAGGAAATTTGACCTAGATACCACAGTAATCATGAATGGTAGTTAAAAAGAAAAAGTAAAACAGGAAAAAACATCAGAGGTAAGAATGAAAAGAAAGGTTAGAGATGGTGAGCACTTGTCAAAGGGCCATGTTGCTACCCTGGGCACTCAAGTAGTCATCTGACTCTGGAATTCTCCCTGATGAAGCTTAGGCCTGTTTGTAAAGTATAGATTCCTCATTTTTTAATGGTCAATGATCTTTATGATATCATCCTGGAAAAATGCACATAATCATTGCACAATTTTGCTGGCAATTTTAGGGATACCCAGCATCTGGACAGTGGGTCTGCCTAACCTAGTAGCAGGTAACAGCCCCTGTCAAAGGCAACCTTTATTACTCTGCTGACTGTAGAATACACATCTCACCTGTGATTTGAATAAACTCCAGGACAATAGAAGAGAGCTGTGAAGATACTTCTGTCTCTACAGATGGTGTCCAGGGTGAGTGTTATTCCATATACCGAAGTGAGCAAGAAGATCAGAAGGGCAAGTATAAATGCTTGATGATTTGATTCTCCAACGCAGCTATTTATCCTCAAATCAGCATGTGGGAGGAAGCAAACACATTTTTAAAAGATCTTTAGATTACTCACATAATGAAGAAAGCTTTTAAAACAGGAATACTGTAGTATGAATTTGGGTTACTAAAAAGTAAGTTCACTTATTTTTTCAGCGTTAGGGGATTAACAATTTGTCCACTGACAGATACAATCTTATATTCACTGCTCTTTACAGAGTGAAATCCTTATCATTTAGTTGAAGGATAAGGTTAAATAAAAGGCACCACCTGGCTAACAAATCATATATATATATATGATAAATCATCATATTATATATATGATATATAAAATTTTTTTAAAATTTGTGTTTGTGAGCTGGGGATTAAACTCAGGACCTTGTCCCTCTTCCTAAATATTAGTAATACCCAGCTATGAAGAGTTATTTTTGTTATCACCATGCTAAGAAAGATACACAGAAGACTTATGAAAACTTAAGAAATGATACACCTAAGTATTATAGAGTATACGAAAATATATGTTAACTATGTAAGACAATAATACGTTAACTATATAAGACAAGGAAGTCAGAACAATGATGTGGGGTGAAGAATAACCTGAAAATACACAGGCCACCAGTCTGGTAAAAACAGTCCTGTGTCATGGTCACTTGTAGTGCAGGCTGTCCAGGTGGCCTCTCAAGCCCCTTGCATCTCAGGACGCTCAAGGGAACAGAAGTTTCATTTAGGAGAGGCCGCGAGGCCCTCTGCAAGCCAGCATTTGTAAATGGCTCAGCACACATGGGAGACAGGTGGAACCCTGCAGTCACCCCCGTGTCTCCCTGTCCTGCCTGAGCCCTTGCCCTCTCCCATGTCCCCTCCTGAAGGGGGGGCATCTATGTGCACAACAAGCATAATTCATTAACCATGACTGCCTTAAGAGCAATGGTGCTACACACCCCATGCTTAGAATATTCACGCCTGAATAACTGCCCTCCCTTTAGAGTCCCTCTTTCAAGCTGCAATGGTATCTTTAAATGTGGTACTATGTGTCTTCCTTTGTCAGTGGCCAGCTGAAGTGCAAAAGCTCATCTCGCTGCAATAACCAAACAGAAAGTTTCCTAGCAGGGCCTCAACTCCATAATAATGGAAGTTACAAGTAACATCAAAAATGATTAAGGATGTTTGGCAAAAGGACAAGCGAGTCACCTAAAACTAGGGAACACTTTCAAAAGGAATAGCACAGAGAAATACATTCATAATGAGAAATTCTTTTTTAAAAAAAATCATTCAATAGGGGCCAGGGATTTAGCTCAGTGGCACCGCACCTGCCTTGCAAACGCAAGGTCCTGAGTTCGATCCCCGGTACCAAAAAAAAAAAAAAAAAATCATTCAACTCTATTAGAAGAAATGAAGAACAATTCAAAGAAAACTACAACAACAACAAAAAAAAACACCACCCAAAACTTTTCTGCTATTCTCCTGCAGGAAATGACTGAAAGAACTAAATTTGTGAAATCTAAAAAACAGATGACTAAGTGGGAACATCCTAACAGCCCACAAATATCTACAAGGTGTAAGGCTGGGAAGGAGAGAAATTTTTAAGACAGCACAAAGAAAGATCAAATATGGGTAGAGTTGTATGTGAATTTACACTTTCCAGGCCTTCAAATTTTTCCAACATACCAGACACAGTGATGATCCATTCTCCTCACACAGATGCCACAGATCCGGCAGTGCCATGCCCGGGCTGGTCGCACCAGCTGGCACTTGGCACACCAGTCCTCCTTCACCTTGGTGGGGCTTCCTGCCAGCATTCTGGAGGAGCTCTTAAGATCATCCTTCAAGGTGCGGTTGTTGAGACTCCCTGAAGTATCTGTTCCAGGGAACCCTTTGGTCTTCTCCTGCCCTTTTCTGTCCAGGCATTCAATTTGGCTGCTGCTTAGGGATTTGTCATTGCTTGCTGGATTGCTGAGGTAGCCTGGATTCTTCTTGGCTCTGTACAAGGCGAAGAGTATCAGAAATAACCCGCAGGTAAGAACAGCCAGCTGAGTGGGCCCCACACGCCCTTCGGGGACTACTTCCAGCAGGAACACATAGTACATGTAGCCCAGTGAAAACAGTCCAAGGCTCAGGAAAAACAAAGTCTGTTCTTTCCTTCTGTGAGTGAGGTAGTAGTACCACAGTGCCAGCACAGGAAGGGAGGTCAAAACCACTACCCCCAAGAGGAAATGCCAGGAAGCCACGTGCAGGAAGACAGGCAGAAGTACGAGTGGAGGGATGATGCTAATGTTAATTTTTTTGGCTCCTCTAAGCCAAGGAATCCGGAGGCGATCAGAAATCGTATCCATGATTCTTTCACAAGTCTCTGGCTGTACTGATTTACATGTAAACCATCTATTCAGAAATTCAGAAAGAGCACAAAGAGAAGGCATTTCATATAGGTTTGCTGAATTAAAAACTGCACAACACTAAAAATGATAACTATAGACCAAAGGCCAAGCATTTTATTTCCTTACTACTAAATATGAACTTCTCATCAGATTCAAGTATCATTTTTTAATGAGAACAAAAAGATGTTTAGAAATTTAATAGTCAAGACTGTTTCTTTAATACGTAGATATATATACATACTCCATACATAACATTTACACCTAGGTGGCTACATGGTCAACGAACTTTTAAAAAATTCACACTGTAGTTGTGCAGACACGAGAATTTAAAAAATACTAGGTAAATTACAAAGCAGCAAAAATCATCCAAAGAATTTTTATGATCAAATAATAGTAATGAGTAGTCAGAGGGTGAACACTTCTGGGTGGACTCATCAGAAGGGTCTTTGACCTGTGCTTGACATTGGCCATCAGCTAGCATTTGTGTGGTGGAGAGAAAGAGAGCCACTGCAGTGAAGAGAAATGGGTGCGGCCCAAAAGCTGCTTGGGCCCAGGAGGTAAACCCATCTGGCAGCAACATGGGAGTGCGTAAGGAGGACTGGAGAAAAAACTAGTCCGAGTCAAGTAACTGACTGCTGAAAAGAATGGTGTCTGTTGACTTTTTTTGCACACTTAGGCTATATTATAGTCTGAATGATTGTGTTCCTCCCAAAATATGTACTTTTAAAAGCTAAGTCCCAATACATTAGTATTAAAAGATGGGCTGCCAGGGACCTATAGTCCCAGCTACTGAGGAGGCTGAGACAGGGGAATGGCTTCAGCATGAGCCTTAGCAGCACAGCTTGACCCTGTCACCAAAAAGAAAAGAGGGGGAGGAGGAAGAGGAGAGGGGAAGGAGAAGAAGGAGGAGGAGCAAACAAAGGAGGAGGAGGGGAAGGAGGAAGTGGAGAAAGAGCCAAGAGGAGGGGAGGGGAAGGGAAGGAGAAGAGAAGAAGCCTTTAGGAGGTGATCAGATCATGCATGAGAGCAGAGCCCCTTGTGAATAGGATCAGCACCCTTATAAGAGGCCAGAGGGGCTTATTCACTCTTTCCCCCAGATAAGGGTGTAGCAAGAAAGCTCTATCTATGAAGCAGAGAGGTGCCTTCACCAGCCACTGTGTATGCTGGAGGCTTGATCTTGGATTTCCCAGCCTCCTACAACTGTGAGCAATAAATTTCCATCACTTACAAATTCCCCAGTCTAAGGTCTTTTGTTACAGCAACTCAAAAAGACTATGGCAGGGCCGGGGGTTTAGCTCAGCAGTTTTGCCACCTGCTGCGCAAGCACAAGGACCCAAGTTCGATCCCTGGTACCAAAAAAAAAAAAAAAAAAA